TTTGGTTATGATTACCATTATTTATTATTTTGATATTACATAATTTTCTGTATCTAAAAAATATACGATATATCTAGCGACGACTTGCATCATTTTTGTGTCTCTCAGCACAATTGCAAGTGGTTTAATGCGCGCAAAATGTTACTGATTGAAATATCACACATACACGTTTGTAATCAAGCTAAACAGGGAGGGGGGAGGGTCATTTCAAGGTTCCGTGAAATATTGGAGTGCCCCCCCAAACTTTTTCAGCTTCCACCGCCCCTGTTGATGCATAGCAAATCCAGGTCCCTTTTCCATGGTCTGTAACGAACACAGAATGGCGTCAGCATATAATCCAAACCCATGAAGAACCACGACTGTAGGAAAAAAATCATTTTTTGCTGGTTTACGACGATGAAAGAAGTAGGCAATCCCCCTCCTTGCGCAAAGTAATATTTCTTTTCAAAGCGTTTCCTATTATGGGGTATATTGTTATATCCAGCACTTGCTGTCATGTCTCGGTAGCGTCCGTATTATCAACCCTAACGTTTCCTTCCTCGCCATTTCTTCCTCGTGATCATTACCAATACTACCGGCTACTCAGTGACTCAGGGATGCTGTTTGGAGGGCTCTTGATTCTAGTGGTCTCGTGTTTTGGAGAAAAATGCATGGAATTCTTTAGGATTCGAAAACTCTGGTCCCTCGTTACGTTGAACGTCATCATTCTGTTGTTCTTCGTCTTTGCATCGTGGTACCGTTTTCTACCTAATGTTATATTTGTACTTGTGCTGTGTTTCGTCCAAGGACTTTTACACGGTGTAACGATGGTTTATTAGAGAGTTTTAGATTGACTTTTTTTCCTCCCCGCAAACGGCAAACGTGACCACGTTTTCATAGTTTTCCCGTATTTTACTTTACCTTTTACAAACCTTCTCACCAAGCGCAAATACTCTTTTGTTTTTCTACTACTTGGACTTTTTTGGGATTCTTTTTCAGTAATTTAAAAGAATTTTTTACTGGTCAACTGACGTTTCACGTTTGCCGTGAACGTAAATCTAAAACTCTCTAATGTGCACAAAATATCGCCAGTCTTTATTCCAGCCCACGAGACAAGGGTACAGCTCTAAGCCTGTTGCAGGTATCTTTTTCTTGTTCTCGATTGGCTGCAGCATCTTTAGGATTTTTTGTTGAACCATATCTGAGGGAGCACTGTACATATCGGTTGATGTTGGGTCGATTTTGCCTGGCACGACACGCATCTCATGGCGAATGGGACACTAACAAGCACTGCAGGATCTAGAACAATGGCCGGTAGCCCCAGGTGACGCGATGCCGGAGTGCTCCTGCGCAAGGAAGGGGTTTCCTTTTTCTTTCATCGCTGTATACAAAAAAACGTTTAAGCCCTGGCTGTAGGGTTATTTCACTTTTTTGAAAAGAGGGCCTTAGGGAATGCAAGAGCTCAATCATGGTGGAACACAACGCACCAAGGGGACAGTAATTGTATAAATACCTAGGCACCTTAGATCTAAATTTATCAAGGAAGGGTTTGGAGAATTTTTGTTGCATAACGATTGATCCCCCAAGAGGCACCATCTTAGAAGCACCATGATCCCCCATTTCTCACACACAAAAAAATCATAACTCAGAAATTAAAGAAGTTGTCGAAGCACGGTTATTTACTCATTTTCGTTTTAGTCACGATTGATTTAAAAATGCCCACGATATTCTGGCTTGCGGTCAGACGTGAATTACGTTTTTCTGTCCTTTCCTGGTCTCCAAGATAGCGGACAGCAAACGTTGCTATGGAAATGTGACATAATTGCAAGTCAAAAAATCAGTGAAGATCAAGTTTCAAGTTAGCCAGGCATAATAATGTGCCTAGGACCCGCTCGACCAAACGAACATCGGCTGGCAGCAATTGTCATGTCAGTAGAGTTGATTTTTGGTTCTCTCTGTGCTTCGAGGGTTTTTTCTCTGGGTTCTCCGGTTTTCCTCTCTTCGGCTCCACAAAAATCAACACATTCTTTACATAGTAAAAAAACTTTATTCCACCAAAAACAAGACAACAGTAACTATGATCCAAGAAGCGACAACATTGACCACGAGAGGGGTTACATTGTTTCTTTCAAAAACTTGTCAGTACGGTAATATTCAAAATTCGATGTCAAAGGTATCCGAATAGCAAAAGTAGCACGTGAAAACTAAACTAAAATATGTTCAAAGTTGCAGGTCAAATACATATTATTACCACAAAACCAGAAGTAGAATGTAAAATGCAAAGTTCGATTTTTGGCCACGAATGTAGGCCTATAATATAACAGTCGTTACAAAGTTCGTTACGAGTTCTAAACTTTCCGCCCAACTTCGGAACTTGGTTGGCTTATCTTGCAGCAAACAAACTTGATTTTCAAACAGGAGCTTCTGGATTTCCTTGCCATACATGCTTGGGTTCGTAACCATGACTTGGTTCTACTTTCCCGGTCTTCACGAAGTTATCGATAGTGTTTGAAACCGTTTTTAGCCATATATTATGTTTACGACCAATTTTCGCTGGTTTTCCACTTTCAAGATAATAGTCAACAAATTTTTCCGAAGCTTAGAGATAGCTCGTCGGGTGAGGATAAACGCGGACCCCCGGTCCATGGACCAACGCATATAAAAAAGGCGTACGAGTTCCTTGGAAATCACTAAAATCTATTAAAAACACCAAAATCTTAAGACTTGAGCTTATTTAAATGCTTATATATTAAAAAGCGAACGAAGGTTGCCTCTAGTTAATTTATAAAAAAAAAATATATATATATATATATATCAACTGTTTTATCGATCAAGTGCACGCCATTACAGGCACCAGTCTCTCTTTACCACAAGAGGCCCGATGTAAGAGTAATACTAAAGGCTTCACGCGAACCTGGATTATCTGAAGATCTCTTTTTACCCCTCATTAATTAAAGATATGTTATTTTACTCTCTTCGCGTCACAGGCAGCCCAAGCACTGCAATACAGTGCTTATAACAGCTTTGAATGTGAGCGATTAACGGTCGAAATTCGAATCCTTTAAACTGCAGCTTATTTGAATAAAAACGACTTACCTTTATAACTTGTTGTGGTATATTACCTGGCCGAGTTTGAAGACATTTGGACACAGGTAGCCCAAGCTTGGTTTCTGTGGTGTCATGTTATAAGGAAATGTATGGGGATTCATCAAAAATATGAATAAAATCCTTGAAACGTGAAATAAAGCCTCGAAATTTTACCCGATCATTGAGAAATAGCACTTCTTTCGCTCTGTGTGGTTATTTTTCGAATTTAGCCCGTTTTAAGATTTTTTTCCCAACCAGTAAGAAATCACTCGGGCAGAATGGCTATTGTTTAATGGACATCATTATCAAACTCCATCTTAACTCAATTATTGACATCATCTCAAAATGAATATTAATGACAAAAAAAGTGATCAGTGATTGGTCCTTAGTATTTCCCTAAAGGGACTGAGCCTCCTAATTAGTATGTTGAAAATCAGCTCCATGAAATTCACACTTGTCAATCACTTTCATAGCAACCAGATTTGTGTGTTGTGCTTAAAACCCAGTGATTAATTACGATTTTTTTGCAAAACTTATGGAAACTATGATTTTAGGAGTCTGGTCCGAAGTATGATTATTCATAGATATTGATCAATATCTATTCCTTAATGTCTAGGTTTTCATTATTTTTTATTTCAAACATTTCATTTTATTGAAATAAGCATTGGTCATGACTTTCTTAGTGCTTGTTGGCTCCTAAAAGAGCCGTTTTTATTTCTATTTTAGCTATTCCTCTCTGAACTGAAAGGTAACTCTTCGTATGTGTCGAGCCTTCGTCTTGTTCTTTCCGTTGTAAAAAGATGGCGCTTTGCCCAGGTGTAGCTTCAGTAAGAGGGTCGTTGTTTGTGAGAGTAAAAGTCATTCGACAAGACTTTGGTTTTAAGAGTGTCGTCGTTTGTGAGAGTAAAAGTCATTCGACAAGACTTTGGTTTTAAGAGGATCGTTGTTTGTGAGAGTAAAGCTTACTCTACAAGACTTTGGTTTTAAAAGGATCGTTGTAAAATTGTGAGAGTAAAACTTATGTTTGTGAGAGTAAA